AATGTCCTCCAGGGTCACCCATTTTGAATAATATTGCACGAGTTCCTTGTTTTTCAATGCAGTGTAGTATTCCATTGTGTGAATATACCACAGCTTCTCTGTCCATTTGTTTGTTGATGGGCACTTAGGTTGTTTCCAACTCCTTGCTATTGTGAACAAAACCGTGATAAACATGGTGTGCATATATCTGCTTAGATGTCAGTTATGGTCTCTTTGGGGTATATTCTCAGTAGTGGAATTGCTGGGTCAAATGGTATCACTATTTGCAACTTTTTGAGAAAGTGCCATACTGCCTTCCACAGTGGTTGCACCATTTTACACTCCTACCAACAGTGGGTAAGGGTTCCAGTTTCTCCACAACCTCGCCAGCATTTGTTGCTTGCTGTTTTGCTATTCTGACTGGGGTGAGATGATAGCTTATACTTGTTTTGATTTGCATCTCTCTTAGAGCTAGGGATTTTGCATATTTCTTCATGTGCTTGTTAACCATCTGAATGTCATCTTTGGTGAAGTGTCTGTTCATATCTTGTACCCATTTTTCAGTTGGATTATTTACCTTTATCTTGTGAATATTTGTAAATATTTGTATAAAGATATTTGTGTGCACATGTTGTAGTTCTCTTGGATTTATCTTTATCACAAACTAGGTTTTATATCCATTGAGTGGCATATTTGTTTTTAAGTTATTTCTACTTCCACAAGGGCCTAGTTTCCAAAATTATTATTGTTATGAAATACACTGGAGTTGATTACAACACATAGCGAACCTTTAAACTACAGATGAGATCCTGTACTGTCCTAATGATCTGTGAATATACCTAAGCCCTTTGTCCAGTATTTAATGGGATGGTGTCATTATAGCTTTAAAGCACTATTCATCCCTTCTAGCTTTTTTGTGCACTCACAAAAATCTGAAATATTGGACTTTTCTTTCACTAACTTTCAACCTTTGTATATTTCTGAATACTTAACAAAGTACTCTCTTAAGCTCCATATATGAGCGTTCTCAAACTTCAGAAAACAAATGTCCACTTTTTCTGTTAGACCTTAGAAGTCATCATAGGGTAGATTTGCATTTCTTCTTACCCTGGTAATATGGTTACACAGCTGTTCACAGCAGTGTAAGATGTTAAGAGGCTGGTAGCTGATGTTTGAACCTTATCTTCATCTCTCACCAGCAACTGACTTTTTCATCCCAACCAGCCACAGCTCCCTGACCTTAGCCAGTTATCTTTGCCTCAATTTTCTCATTAAAATGTATATTTAAGTATAGAGCAGGGTTTAGGGCTGTTGTACATAGGGTCGCTATGAGTCGCAAACGACTTGACGGCACATAACAACACCCTTTTAAAGGATTGCTGTAAGAGTTAATTGAAATAAAGGAAAGCATTATAGTATATTATTGTTGCTAAGTCATCTCCAGCCAACTACAATTCATAGCGACCCTGTGAACAATAATCTATCATTCTCAAACCCTCTTTGCAATCATAGTAACCAATCCATCTTTTTTTATTTTATTTTTAATACTGGTTTACTTACAAAGTTCATATACAGTGTGTTTCATACAGTCATACAGTTTTCCCCATTCATTATTTTTTACAAAATTAATCACCATTGAACTATACCCACCATTACCCTCTCTTTCCAGACAAATACATCTTGTTGAGGAGCTTTCTCTCTTGTGGACCTTCTACTTTACCATGCATATCTTTTTTCAAGGACTTATGTTTCCTGACAAAATACCTAAAGAAACTTCATTATTATTGTCTGTAAGGAGCTCCCTGGTTACATTTGCAGATTTGTTTATTTTCAGCAGTCCATGAGATAAGCAGCCATCTTTCCCAACACCACAGTTCACAGACATCAGTTCTTCCTTGGTACGCCTTATTCGTTGTTCAACTTCCCCATGCATATGAAACAGTGATAAATAACCATTACTTGGGTCAGGCGGAGCTTAGTCTTCAAACTGACATCCTTAAGCACTTTGGAGTAGTTCTTGGCAAACACTTTCTCTGATTATTTTTGACTGCTGCTATAGTGGATGTTGTGGATCCTTGACAATTTCAGTCTTTTCCATTTCTATCACGTTGTCACCTATTGGTCCAGTGGTGAGGATTTTTGTTTTTTTGATGTTGATAGAATCTGTATTGAAGGCTGTAGTCTTTTCCTTATGCAGTAAGTGTTTAAAGTTTACTTTCTGCAAGCAAGGTGTGTCATACATATAATGCAGACTCTTCCTCCAATTCTGATGCCATTTATTTTCTTCATGTAAGTCTAGCTTTTCAGTTATTTGCCCAGGAGACATATTGAATATATAAATAAAGATAAAGGATACAACTGATATAAATCCTTCCTGATTTTTTAAAACCATGTAATATTCCCTTGTTCTTTTCGAAAGACTTTCTTGGTCTATGGTCAGGTTCCATATGGACAAAATTAAGTATTCTAAAATTCCCATTCCTCTAAGTATTGACTACAATTTATTAGGAACCACATACTCATGCCCTTTGCATGGTCCTAAACTATGAATCATGTGAGAGCATTATGGCAGAAGATTAGTCCATAGTCTTTGACGTTAAAAGGAAATAAAAATGCAACTGGGGAAGAGCTGCCTTCTCTAAGGTGGAGTCCTTCTTAATGATGTGGCTGCCTGAAAGCTTTCACCCAGTGAAGAAACTTCATTTGCTGATAGAGCAAGAACCAAGATGAGGAGAAATGGCTGTAAACATTCCTAAATAATTGCAAAATGGAATATATGAACTATGAATCTAAGACATGAGGAGTTGTGAAAAATGAAATATAATCCATAAAGATTGACTATATCCTATACCTTAGTGAACTGTGATGGACTAATAGTTGACTATTTTAAATCAGACAGTCATACCTCTACTATATAGTAGGAATGATGAAGAGAAATGGTGTTAGCATTTTTTAAAAATTACAAGTTTGATTTTATTCTGACATTGAAACTGCAATAAAGTGGTTCATGACTGAAATAGCCTTCATGAGGAAATGCTCTTAATTGTCAGAAAGAACATTTCAAGGTCTATCCTGAAGTACAGTGCTGTAAGTGATAGGATAGTGTCCACAGTTATACAAGAAAGACATGTAAGTAGAACTGTTCAAATTTATACACCCACCACTAAATCCAAAGATAAGAAACCTAACATTTTTACAGACTTTTGCATTCTGAAATTGGTTAAACATGCTATCAATCTACGTCAATAGTAATTGGTAACTAGAATACATATTTTTAGAAACAGTATTTTAGACCAGTATTTTGAAAATGGAGCCTTGGTGACAGAAATGAGGCCAGAAATGAAATGGTAGAATTATGTACAATCTAATTTACTAATTACAAGTAACATTTATTAAAATATATGAACAGATGATTCATCAACAATCTGCGTTACGCAGATGACACAACCCTGCTTACTGAAACTGAGGAGGACCTGAAGCACTTGCTGCAGAGGGTCAGGACTGCAGCCTCCAATATGGATTGAGGCTCAATGCCAAGAAGACAAAGATTCTCACCAGTGGACCAACTGGCAGCATCAGGATGGATGGTGAAGAGATTGTTCACAGCTTTAGTTTGCTTGGCTCCACAGTCAACACTCTTGGCACCAGTAGCCAGGAAATTAAAAGGCGCATTGCCATGGGAAAGTCTGCTGTTAGGACTTCTCCAGAGTATTGAAGAGCAATGGTGTCTCTCTGGAGACTAAGGTGTGTCTGACACAGGCCATGGTCTTTGCTATCACTTGTTATGCAACAGAGAGTTGGACAGTGACTAAGGAGGACAAAAGGAGAATTGATGCCTTTGAGCTGTGGTGCTGGAGAAGAGTATTGAGGGTCCCATAGACTGCTAGGAAAACAAACAAATTCATCCTGGAAAGGGTGAAACTGGGCGGCTCGTTGGAAGCAGGGATTCTGAGGCTCCATGTTGTAAGGAGGGACTGGTCTCTGGAGAGGGACATCATGCTTGGTAGGGTGGAGGAATAGTGCAGGCGGGGAAGGCCCTCTAGGAGGTGGATTGATTCAGTGACTGGCGTAATTGGGATGTGTGTATCAGAGACAGTGTGATTGGCACAGGACAGGGCAGAGTTTAGGGCTGTTGTACATAGGGTCGCTATGAGTCGCAAGCAACTCGACAGCACATAACAACAACAACAATACATAGTCTAGTGAAATACACAGATTCAAATTGACCACATCTTTGAGAAGACACAGTTGTTGTTGTTGTTGTTGTTGTTGTTGTTGTTGTTGTTGTTACGTGCCATCACATCGCCTGCAACTCATAGCAATTCCATATATAATATCTCTGAACCCTCTTCTGTCCTGAGCCAATCTCAGTTTCCCTGACATACCTACCCGCCATTTCCCCATTTACTGTGTCAGTCCATTTTATGTAGGGTTTTCCTCTCCTGCACTGCCCCTGCACCCTTCAGAAGCATGATATCCTTCTCTGAGGACTGTCCTTTCCTGGCAACATGCCCAAAGTATGTGAGATGGAGCTCACATAATTAGTTGTCTGTTTATTGTCGTGACTATCACAGTTGCTTATCCTTTTCCCTCCTCATTAATGATCCTCTGCCAGATGTCTGGTCTTTAATTGTCAGCATTTGAATCCCTAGTCTTTTTTTTTGTTTGTTTTTCTGTTTCTAGTTTTGGGAATTTAAATCCCCCACATCAGGATTCCAGAATTTCTTTGCTATTATTCAGCCATACTCTTTGCACTATTGAGAATTAAGTACTATTTACTAAGTACATTTTAGAACTCACTAGGTCGAAAGTATTACCTCAAAATACATTTATATTTCAGTCTTTCATCTCTGTCTTTAAAGTTAAAGCCTTTAGTGTTTATAAAACCATGTCCAGATGAGGTATATTTGTGATAAGATTTGAAGACAAAAAAGGGAAGAATTCATCACATCCTGATGGAAATGGACTTAGTCTAGAGATAAGATCATACATTCTCTTCTTCCCCCCACCCCTTGTTTTTAGAACTACCTATTAATTTATTAAGCATGAAAAATTGATGAGGTCTGTACTCAAGGAGCATAATTTGTTTTCCAATGAATCCTGTCTTGGGAAAACTCATAACAATTCACTACTGACTTAAAAACTGGTATCTCCTTGCATTGCCTGAAGATTCTCAATTGATTGTTTATGCTTTCCATATATGTTAACATTTTAGGTAGTTTTTCTAACTTCAGACATTTCATTCCTCTTTGGTGATATCTTGAGAATGTATAGAAAACCCTTAGAAAACAGAGAAGTATATTGGAAGATGTTCTTCTACAAGAGTAGTTAATGATTTGTAAATAAACACCATTTTACATTGTTGACTTTAATATTGCATTTTCTTATACTTTCATATGCCTTAGATTGCAGTAGATATTAAATCTGCAAAGCGAGAACTGAAGAAAGCAAGAACTGTCCTACAAATGGATGAACTGAAATGTCGCAAACGAGTTTTAAGAAGATTGGGATTTGCCACATCTTCTGATGTCATAGAGATGAAGGGGCGAGTGGCTTGTGAGATTAGCAGGTAACACTTTAATATTGTTATACAAAGTTCATTTTAATTATAAGTACCATTACCAAATTAAAAGGCTTTTAGTCTTTTGAGTGTACAAGAACTGCCTTAAAAATAACTTTTGTACAGGTTGTTGTTAGTGGCCATCAAATCAAGCTCAACTCATAGCAACCCTTTGTCCTGTCCTATGCCATCCTCACAATCTCTGATACACTCAAGCCCATTGCTGCAGTCACTGTGTCAGTCCACCTGGTTGAGGGTCTTACTCTCCTTCACTGCCCCTCCACCTTCCAAATATGATGTCCCTCCCAAAGGAATAACGTCTCTTAGCAACATGCCCAGAGTATGTGAAATGAGGCTTCATCATATTTGCCTTCAAGGAGCACTCTGGCTGCACCTTATCCAAGCCTTATCTGTTCTTTTTAGCAATCCAAGGGCTATTAAGCACTCTTCTCCAACACTGGTCAGAGAAGTCAGTTCTTGTGTCAACCTTATTCATTGTCCATCTCTCCGATACATAGCCTGTGATTGCAAAGACCATAGTCTGAATAAGGCACACTTCCTCAAACTGATATCATTACTCCTCAATTGTTTTGAGAATTCTCTGGCTACACAAGAATACTCCAGTTGTGGGCTGGAAGCCTCTTGTTTAAACTAGTCCGGACCTGGTAGGTGGGCCTTTGTGATTAAAAAACCTTTGGGTCCTGTCTGAGAGTCTCTTGTTTGGAGCCTCTTGTTTGAAGTAGTTGGATTTTAGAAGATATGTTGTCTTGGTTTAATTAACAATTAGATGTAAAGCTGTTTGGTCATTTTGATTTTAGTGTGAAGACTGATTTGCTTTTAGAGTTACAAACTAAATTGGCAGTTTGTTGTGTTTGGGGAGAACATTGTTCTAATTGGTGTAGCACCTGTCCATCAGTGTGCTGTACAGAGATAACTTGTGGGTTGCTCTGATAGTGAAAGTTACCCCACCTGTGTCTCAGATGTGTAAAGGTTATCCATGGTGGACGGGTTTTAGTCGAGTTCCCACATTAAGACAGACTAGGAAGCAGGATTGGCCATCCACTTCTTAAATAACAGGCCTTTGAAAACCCTATGAGCATGAGAGGAATGCAAATAGTTACAGTAGTGTAGTGGTAGAGCCCAGATGGAAGTCCGTTATGTGAGGAAAAGCAGTGACAAACATTATAATTGGAACATAGCTTAAATTTTGGAAAACTAGAAATGGTAAAAATTGAAATGGAGGTGGAGGATCTCTGGAGGCCTAGTGGCAAGAAGCTGCACTGCAATCCCAGAGGTATGCGATTGGAATCCACCAGATGCTCCACTGGAGAAGGAGGGGCAATCTCCTCCTGCACCATTCAGATCTGATTTGACGGTACACACACAAAACACATAATAAAATTAAATTTAAAAAAAAAATGAAATGGAACAGATGAGATGGGTACCTTTTGAATCAGTTAATCATATGGTCGTCTATGTTGGGAATGAAAAACCGAAGAAGAATGGTGTTGCATTCATATTCACAAAGTCAATTTCAAGTTCTTTTTAAAATACATTTGTTGTGAGTGATGGGATATTATCCATAAGTGCACAAGGAAAACCTGATAATATAACTATTACTCAAATTACGCTCCTACGTCTAGAGCCAAAGAGGGAGAAAATGAGAATTTTTACCAAATCTTGCAGTCTGAAATTGACCGAAAATGCAGGCAAGATGTTAATTATAATTGGTGACTGGAATGCAAAAGGTGGGAACAGTGAAGAAGGAATAGTAGTTGAAAAATAGGAGTTTTGGATAGAAATGACGCTCGAAATGGAATGATCAAATTTTATATTTTCAATGATTTATTCATTGCAAATGCCTTTTTTAAAAGACAGATGATGACTTTACACATGGATCTCAACTGATAGGCTGCATAACAATCAAATTGACTACAGCTATGGAAGAAATCATTGGAGAAGCTTAGTATTAGCAGTTGAAACTAGGGTGGGGCGGACTGTGAGTCAGACCATCAATTACTCTTGTGCAAGTTCAAATTGAGGCAAAGGAAAATTAAAATAAGTCCATAAGAACCAAGGTAGGATCTTGAATCTATTCCATCTGAAATTCAAGATCATCTTGTGTTAGATGACCAGATGAATTGTGGGATGATGTCAAGGATATCATCAAGAAAGAAAAAGGTTGTTACAAAGAGGAAGAAAAAACTGAAAGGGATGTCAGAAGAGACTCTGAAAATTGCATTAGCCCGTTCAGAAGCCAAAACAAAGGGAAACAGGCTGAAGTAAAAGAGCTGAACAGAAGATTTCAAAGGGCAGCTTCAGAGGATAAAGCAAAGTTTTATAATAGAAGGTGCAGAGAGCTGGAATTGGAAAATAAAAAGAGAAGAACTCGCTCTGCATTTCTCAAACTGAAAGAACTGAAAGCCAAATTTAAGCCTCGAGTCACAGTATTGAAAGATGCTATGGGCAGTATATTTAATGACCAGGAAATCATCAAAAGAAGATAGAGGAATACACAGATTGACTTTACAAAAAAAAACCCTAATTGACACTGAAAAATTTCAGCAAGTACCTACCATATGAACAGGAGCCACTCGTAATGAAGACCAAGTGAAAGCTGCATTGAAGGCATTGGCAGCTCTGTAGGTAGGTCCCTATCTATGTACCATTCTGAGTAGTTTTCTGTAGTGCTCCAAATTCAGATTTGGCTCATGAATATCAAAAAATAAGAAAAAAGAGAGGGAAAAAAGTCTCAGGTTCCACTACTTTTTATAAGCACTGTTTAGATTTTGATGTATTTTTTTTCAGTCTCCTTTTTAAACTAATACATGGGATTTTTTTATTTTCTTAATTTTAATGAACACTTACAGAAAGTTTGGATTTCCATTGAGTCATTATTGCATTTTTCTCCCTGCCCATCCCTCCCCCACATTGTGGCATTTTTATGTATTTGTCATATTACTTGCACACAAAGTGGCTTAAAAAAGCAATAATCATTTCATTCATTCTCTTTCCTGATTTCTGTGGGTTCAGAATTCAGGAAAGGCTTGGGTGGTTCTGGTTCTGGGCCTGACATAGTTGCTGACAGTTGAATGATTGAGTGAAACAGCAGGAGTCTGGGTAAGCTGACAGATACTTAGAACTTTTCTTCTCTCCTTCGTGTCCCCTTCCTACTCCCTTCTTTCCTCTTCTGTCCCTTGGCTTAGTAGTAAGGAGTTGCACTTCCAACCCCAAAGCATATGGTTTGGATCTGACGGCTACTGCATGGGAGAAAGACTGGGGCAGTCTCCTCCCATGTAATTAACTGTCTGAAAACCTGCTGGAAGGTGTGCTGTGAGTCACTTCTGACGGGATGGTATATGACAACAAAGATAACTAAAATCCTCTCCTTAGCCCTTTCTTATGGGGCGGCTTCAGGTATTCTCTCCAGTTATGCTATTTTAGGCTATTTCTGGACCTACGTTCACAGTCTTGAGGCTCTAACCTGTGTGTGTATTCTTGCAACTTGAGGTCATAGTCACAGTACCTTTTCTGACCTGATTTTTGATGTCCAATATCATACTTCTACCGCATTTGCTTGATTATAGTGACTCATAAACCTGTCTAGATTGAAGTGTAGAAAAATCAGACAACTTCCCAATGGGGATTACACAGTAGGATTTTCATTGATGATTCATAGAAATATTCTGTGACTTTGCCTTTCTCTACAGACGCCAGTAACCATATGTAGTTATTAAGTATTTAAAATGAGGTTCATGGATTAAGAAATTAAATTTTTTAATTGTACTTTATTTTTATTGCTACATGTGAGTAAGAAAGTTTATGTACATTGATTGGTGCAACTGAAGGAAATGTGGGACGGCAGATAATATTATAGCGAGCTTTAAAAAATACAATTTATGTTGTTGTTATGTGCTGTCAAGTCACTTGAGACTCATAGCATCCCTATGTACAATAGCCCTAAACTCTTCTCTGTCCTGTGCCAATCACACTGTCCAATACACCCATCCCGATTACCCCAGTCACTAAATCAATCCATTTCATAGAGAGCCTTTCCCTCCAGTGCTGTCCCTCCACCCTACCAAGCATGATGTCCCTCTCCAGAGACCGCTTCCTTTTTACAACATGTCCAAAGTATGTTAGACGGAGCCTCAGAACTCTTGCCTCCAGGGAGCCGCCTGGTTTAACCTTTTCCAGGGTGAATCTGTTTGTTTTCCTAGCAGTCCATGGTACTCTCAATACTCTTCTCCAGCACCACAGCTCAAAGGCATCAATTCTCCTTCTATCCTCCTTAGTCACTGTCCAACTCTCTGTTGCATAACAAGTGATAGCAAAGACCATGGCCTGTGTCAGACACACCTTAGTCTCCAGAGAGACACCATTGCTCTTCAGTACTTTGGAGAGGTCCTAACAGCAGACTTTCCCATGGCAATGCAGCTTTTAATTTCCTGGCTACTGGTGCTAAGAGTGTTGACTGTGGAGCCAAACAAACTAAAGCTGTGAACAATCTCAATCTCTTCACCATCCATCCTGATGCTGCCACTTGGTCCACTGGTGAGAATCTTTGTCTTCTTGACATTGAGCCTCAATCCATATTGGAGGCTGCAGTCCTTAACCCTCTGCAGCAAGCGCTTCAGGTCCTCTTCAGTTTCGGCAAACAGGGTTGTGTCATCTGCATAACACAGATTGTTGATAAATCATCCTCCAATCTTGACCCCATATTTCTCCTCATAGAGCCCAGCCTCCCAGATAATCTGTTCTGCGTACACGTTGAAAAGGTATGAAGACAGGACACATCCCTGGAGTACGCCCTTCCCAATTTTGAACCATGCAGTGTTTCCTTGCTCTTTTCTGACGACTGCCTCTTGGTCCAAGTATAGGTTTCTCATTAGCACGATTAAATGTTCTGGGATTCCCATTCTTCTCAGAGTCAGCCACAGTTTGTTATGATCCACACAGTCAAATGCCTTTGCATAATCAATGAAACACAGATATACATTCCTCTTGTA